AAATAAAGGAAGAGACTAATGATGTGTTCACACCAGACGCAGAACGCGCGAATAAATTGCAATGTTCACGCTTAAATAGCCGCGTGAACATTTGAGGTTACTTGCTATATTCGCGTGTCAAACCCCGCTTCATTCGCGTGTCAAATTCACTCCAGAACAGACGTGGATTCGCGTGATGGGCAGGGCTTCTCTCTGCCCCGTGACTCTAGCTTCGTTGCTAAAATGCTAACATGGATTTTATGAAGAAAATAACAGTGTTTATGTGCTTTATGAAGACTGAAAAACAGCGTTGATACTTTTAGGGTCGTGTCTGAGTCCACTACATGCTTTCAGAGGTGCATCCAGCTCTTTAAGCTCATAGACTCCTCCAGAAACTGAACCTGGATGACGGAGGCTTTCAGCGGTGCTTCTGACTGAGCCCAGCCCAGTTTGATGAACTTGTTGTCAGTGTCGCCTGGAGGATTTTCCATGGGACACCGACAACAGGCGCTACGTCACAATCACGCCCCCCACAAGAGCAAGCTCCTGATTGGATAACGCGGCGCAAATGTCCGCTGAAGTTCAGATTTTCGAACTCAAGCGATTTGCACGAAACGCGCGTTAAGCACATCAAATGCGCAAAACTGTCAATTCGCACCACGCTATTTGTGCGTCGCGCCGCAGGATGTCTATTTGCGCGTTTGTATTGACTTAACATGTAAATCACTCGCGCTTGATGTGCGTTCCGCATCTGGTGTGAACGCAGCATTAGGGTGCTTTCACACCTACACTTTTGTATCGGAACCTGTCACGTTTTCCCAGTTAGCGCGGTTCGTTTGGCATATGTGAATCCAGCAATCGCGCTAGGATCCGCGCCAAATCAATTGCTCCAAGATCGCTTGAATGAGGTGGTCATGGCTCGATTGAAACGAACTCTGGAGCGGATCGATTGCAGTGAGAAAGCGATACGATCCGAGCCCGGCTGTATCACAGTGTTTTATGGATATATAATAGGCTTACGGCTATACGAAGACAGAATTATGAGTAGGGAGGGCGGAAGGTCCAGACATCCCAAGTCTACCGGAAGCTTAAGGAGTCTCCTGCAAAGCACAGAGTCTCCCGGATGCCCACAAACGAGTGATAATCTCCCAGAAATCGCACATCTCCCTCCTGGTCCTCAAATATGACGCGCTCCCTTCTCACCCCTCCCCACCGCATCCCTCCTCGTTTTTCAGACACGTCGCGTGCACCCTGTCAAACACCACTAAACCACCACCTTCCCTGACAGCTGAGCGGGACTCTGCAAAATAAACCCTGACACTCTGACCAATGTGAGGAGAGTTTACTCACACGTGACTTGTTTTAGCTCTTTTAGTCCGATTAGAAACTTTGCAGTGTGAAAGCGAACCGCTCCAAGAGCAAAGAGCAACACTGTAACAATAGTAATCTCTGCTTCAGAACAACTGAATCCATTCACAGGTGTGAAAGCAGCCTAAGCTGAAGGAAAATGAATGAATGAATAAATAAACAGGCGTAATAATCTTCTATGGGAAATATAAGTTGGCTGTGATTGGCCGGACGATCTGTGAGATCAATTCAGCTTACTTATGAAACTGACACTGTTACAACCGGCTCAAAATCACAACATTAAAGAGACAAAATGGACCGGGTCAACTGAGAAGAGAAATGGTTTATTAACAAAAGTATTTCAATCAAAAAGCACTGACAGTCAGTATAAACGGAAGTCAGCAGTGAAAAGCATGTGTATGGTGGTGAACCGAGCTCATGATCCAAAACAAACTAAAATAAATCAAAACCGCCAGGCAGGCAGATCCAGCTAATCAAACTCTCCTCTCATGTCTGCTGTTGGATGCTTTATAGGCACCACATAATGGGTCTCAGGTGAGATGACCCACCCACCAATCTGCAATCATGCAGGCTCTACACAAACAGGTCCCACATAGGACCTCACAGACACTTTATGATGCTGTAGCGCAGATATTTGGTACTTGCATGAAGTTATATTTCATTACAGTGCACGCCGTCTGATGAGGAAAATGTGTGTGTGTGCTTGTTTATATGGTTTATGAGGACTTGTGTAATGATATGCGTGTGATGAAAGCGTTACTTTAAGGTGGTTTATGAGGACATGCCTTGTGTCCTCGTAATTCTAAATGCTTAAAGTCCTACTTAAAGCGGTGTTCCCACATTCAGTTTTTGCCACAGGTTTGCAGTGGTTGGTTCGGGCCAAAGCGGTTTAGTCCTCTTAAAGCACATATACACTGAAGATAACATGATTCAGCCTCATGTGGAGTTTGAATTCTTTTTAATATTCCCCAATTTCCCTGCTGAAAAATCCAGCTTAAACCAGCCTAGACTGGTTGGCTGGTTTTAGCTGGTCGACCAGGCTGGTTTGAGAGGGGTTTTGGCCATTTCCAGGCTGCTTTCAAGCCATTTCCAGCCTGGTTTTAGCTGGTCAAGCTGGAAAATGACCAGCTTAATCCAGCTAAAACCAGCTTGA